CTAAAAACTGACTTCTAATGAGATGTTTTCATAGGACAAGTTAAAAAAGATATTAAATATATGGATAATACGAATCCCTCCCAAATATAGTAGACTTTGAAGGTGTGAACAACATGTGGAAACGGGTTAAGTGTAGTTAAGCTTTCCACAAAGTTCCTAAGTTATTTAAAAATAAATGAATAAAATTAAGCTACCATGAGATTAAAAAAAAGTGATAAAAGACAGAAAACAGATTTAAGAACAAGAAATCATTTTTTAAATTGCCTGAAAGATGTGTCCATGGTCCTCTGCTACATAACGTTCTTCACAACAGCCCAAGAAAGGGAATGCAATGTGGTATTAACTACTTAAGGTAGTTAAAAATAATATAGGAAAATGAAAGATAGAAGATTCGATAATACCAATTGATTGGAAGACAAAATGGTAGATAACATTTAATGTCAACACATGCAAAATAATGAGGACATTAGTGGAGATTACAGCCAACTATACATACACTGCAGTGTAGTAAATGACCTATTAGCACACTGAAAAGATCTTGGAGCCATTGTTAACAGCTCTGTGAAAATGTTGGCTCTAGTTTAGCCACAGTTAAAAAGCAAAGGAATGCTATAAATTATTAGGAAGAAAAAAAAAAGAACAAAAAGAAAAAAATACAACTATATCAATTTGCAGTATACCACAACTGTCAAGAGTTTTGTTTGTTCCCTTTGACTTAAAAGGAAAAAAGTAGAACCATAGCAGATAGAAAAGGAAAACAACATAGAATAGCTTTTCAGATAGAACAGTTTTCAAGTAAGAGGAGTAGGACTTTTCAGCTGAAAAAGATATGACACTGAGGAAATTATTATTCCTTGCAATAAAGAAAAACAAGGTGTCAAATAAAAGAACAGGTTTAAAGCAAAAAAAAGTACTTTTTTACACAGTGCATAATTAAATTTATGTTGATGCCACAGATTCGAAGAATACGAATGGACTCAAGAGCACTCAGATTCGAAAACTCCATTGAAGACTATTGGACACAAAAAGTACAACAGCAGATTTAGGGAGTCCCTAAGCTGCTGTTTGCTGGAAGCTGGGAGGTTTCACTGCAGAAGTTTCTCTTTTCACATGCTCTATTCTTATCCTCTTGCCCTAGGAATCCATTATGGCTCACCACCAGAGCCACAGTACTTGGGAAGATGAACTTTTCATCCAGTAAGTTCAGCCAGACAACCATGAGAACATTCTGTTCATTAGACATATCTACTGTGAGTCTTAGTACAGCTAGTAACTGTCGGTCTCTGAACTGTGATAGGCTGGTACCCTTCTTCTTTTTCAAGGCATAAGGGGAAAGTGTATAGCTGTACAGAAAATCAGTAATTTAACCTTTTTGTTTTCTTTTTTTTTTTAATAGAACAAGATCTTATATGCCAGAAACTATTCTCAAAAGCTTTTCTCCCCCATAGAACTTAAACTAAAATGTGGCATTAGCCCTGCAGTTCTCTCAACAGTAAGGCTGGACTTTGCAAATAAGGCATATAACCAATAGCTCCTATCCAAAGTGTGGTTCTTGATCCCTCCCACTCCTTAGCATTCCCACCTTCTTTTATCTGCACTGGTACTCATTTGATTCAGCCATGTGGGGAGCCAATTCCATGACTCGGACTGGGAAAAAAATTAAATTTTAAAAAATAAAATCTTATTCTTCAAGTACTTGGATCAATCTCATCATCAACTCATACATCCCAGTGGCAGGAGTGGGACAGAAACATTTTCAGCCAGAGCTGCCTAGGTTAGCTTAGTTGCTACACGTAGTGGAATGAGAGCATGCAGCGTCCACATACCTTCTTCCAGGTCCAAGCACTCTTGGAGATTTCAAACTTAACTATACGACAGAATTCTAGAGAGACAGCTTTATAAGTGAGGCACATGGACCTTGATCACCTCTGTTTGGATTCACTAAGACATAAAACTTCACCTCCACAAGCACAGCTGGCTCTATTTACAAGGAAAGGTTTTACTAGTACAAGGGGCGTGTGACATGACTGTGCCCATAGCAGATTTTTTGCCAGCATGTCTATACTAATAAAGCACTCCAAAAGCAGACAAAAGTATTTCAGCTGTACTTATCTAGCTTGCTAAACACTAGGCAAACATTTGGAGGGACTGTTTTCCCTCTTCTGTAATATAACATTTACATTACGAGGATTTTTTTTTTTTTTTTTAGCGGTATAGGTCTACCTGATGAAACTTTTTTTTAATTAAACATCCTCATTTATCCCCATCCTTTATTTTACAAAAAATAGCCAAGTACAGTTTTAGTATTTGGGTGTTTGAATTTTCTGTCATTCACAAAACTGATCCAAAGGTCACAGACCCTTGGAAAACCAGATCTAAGAGTGCTTATTTCTTTGTCTGGAAAAGTGGAATTTGTCCATCCTATTATTAATACGCAACTAGAAAAATAAAGTGACTACTAAGTGTTAAAAGAGGCATTTGTTTTAATTATGGACAAAAACTAGCACTAAGTTATACAGCTATAATATCTGTCAGAAATTATGAAATGATAGAACGGAGTTTGCCTCTGTAATTTATTTCTTGCCTATATACACTATGATAATGACCAGAAACTAGTTTTTCCAAGGGAATCTCTTTGTACATAACAAATCATTCTTCCTTAATGAACTATAATTTCTTGCCTGTTCTTTGCTGTTCAGTCTGTGGCTCCATACCTCGTTTACAATTTGTACTCAAATTTTGCTCTTATTGCACAATAAAACAGCCCCGATTCCTTTATCACACCTCATGTAGAAAAGATGGTGGACAATCACACAATCACAAACTGTATCATAAAAATATATGTGCAAACAAGGAGAAAATCCATGATTTTCTCCTTCTTTTCAAGCAGCAGACCTAAACGTCTCCTAAATCATCCTCTCTTTGTTCCCAAAACTGACTCCCACCTGCTTCCTCCAGGTACAATCTCCCTTCCCACTCACTCCCAGGCTTAGTCTTTTAAAATAGCCTTTTAGCAAATTTCTGTGCTCTTAACCTCCCTCCATAAACTCTTGCTCCCAATTTTTCTCTGCCCAGAGAGTCACAGTTCTTCCCCTAACCACATGTATTCATCAAATGCTCCACACCACCAATTCCTCAACATCTCCTTGACCAGATTCCCAAACTCTCAGCCTCTCAGGGGTCCCTGACCCTGAATATGTATCCATCCCTTTGACCAGACCCTTTATACAGACCCTTCACATTCACAAATCCCAAACTCTTGCCTATCCCAACCCCTGATTCTCTTGTATATTATGTCAAAAATTGAGTCCCACTCTCTTGAAAACTCCTGTCCTGTTCTGAGTAACAGGACATAAGAATATCTCCTCTACATTATAATTGGATAATCTCTTTTCCATGCTACTTGTTCTCTGGGTCAGGGGTCATTGGGGAGCACAGAAAAAACAACAACAACAAAATTTGTTCCAGTTGTAGACCTAACACAAAATCTAGGACAAAGTGTGTGCAGTGCAGGAAGAATCATTGAAGAATACAGTTGCTAAAAATCTAACTCCAATGAATACATCTAAATTCTTCTTTCCAAGATATATTACACAAGCAAATGTAGAATGGCATTAGGAATGGAAAAAGGCACATAACTACAAATGGAAGCTACCCTTTCGCAGAATTTTGGGAAAAAGTTTTGCAGTATTTTAACAAGGGAAAACAATACAACCTTCCCTGTTCTCATCTTACAAAAACGCTGGACAGCTTTTTCCTAAATTTTCCAGAAATAAATCAACTTGATTTTTTGGGAACAAAAATCTAACCTATACCACAACAAGGCCTGAAGAAGTCACGACAGAAAACAAAGTTTAAGGATATGTGCAGACAGTTGTAACTGAAAGGGTTTAAGGGGTTTCAGGTAGTATCATCCCTTTGTTTGGAGATGGAATGTGGTAACTAATTCTCTGATGGCTCTTAGTCTAATATAGTAACACTCATATAGGTAAACTTAAGTTAAACTACTTTTATTGATGATTTAAGCAAGGATGGAGAAACCCATGAAACACATATGCTCAGTTCAATCAGATCTCCAAGCTGGGAAAGACATTTACATCTTGTAATATGTTAATATGATCCTCTGTCATAACCTTACAATAGAAAGTGTAAAGAAATCTGTGTAATATTTGGTATAAACAACCCAACCTATAGTAAAGCTATTTCTCTGGTGCCTGGACAGATAAATAATATACAGTGTGGACACAGGAAAAAGATTTGAGCTTTTTTGCAGAAATAAGAATACAGAAGAAAAGTTGCCCTTTCTTGTCAGACCTCTGGATGACTTAAAAGCTCTAATGATTTGATTTGATCTAATTAGCAAGGAGAGATACAGTTAGCCTTGAACTATGGCATTAAATCAAAGTTCAAAAACATGTGAGACTTAAGTCTACCAATAACAAACCAAACATAGAGGCTTCTTAAGGGAAAAACACAAACAGAAATTATGTATTACATTATTAATCTGTTAAACATAGGAACATAAAAGACTCCAGTCTAGCAGCACATGTCAATTTAAATAGAAGACTTTCTTGTTATAGGAGCTTCATTTTGCTCAGGAATTCCATACAACCTAGAAGCATGGGAGAGAATTCATGTTATTTTGAACCTTCATAGTTCAGTACACTTCTTAGATGATAACTTCTTAGGCCACAATCGACTATTCCGAGTAATGCGATTTTGGAAACTGGCCCCTTACACTGATGAATTGCCATTTAAATTCAGGAGAGTTGTGAGACATTAAACCACAATTAAAAAGGTTAATATCAGTAGAACATGACACTTGATCCACAAACAGGTATTTTTATCTCACAGTCCACCCCTGTACAAAAAAAGACAAGTAATAAGCGCTTTAAATGAGAAAACAAACAAGCTAAGCCTGAAAGTATGCTGTTCTATAAAGTGACAGTAACTATTCTAAGAACATTTCTTTCTGCATGTCACTATCAGTTTTTCCTTACCATATATTCCATATTGGAAGCTGGTGGATACACCTGACCCCGTAATTTATTATGAAGATCCAAGATACTTTGCATATCACTGTCTGTGATAGCCCTTTTCCCTCTCTGCTTGGCGATCCACCACTCACCATCTTCATCCATGTACTTTTCCAAAAGTTCCTCTAAGAGCGTGGCATTGGGAAGAACCATTGCAGAAACTGCTTGAGCTATGAATAGCAAGGTAGTTACTCTGAGCCATTCCTGTACTACATACTTCATGATGAATGATCTCAAAATGCACAGGAGTTAGCTCCGAGACAAAGTCTTTCTTCCAGGTCTGTTGGCTGTAAATGCATAAGAGAGAGTAATGTAATTTGGAGGTTGAAGTACTGGCCTGTATGAACTTACTAAGCAAAAAAAGTCAAACTGTAGTTTGTCCAGAGTTTGCCACTGTTGTTTTAGGGGGAGAAACGAGGATGCTACTTTTTTTTTTACTCTAATAAGTATACACTGTTGCTTTGGGAAGATAGCTTGTCTTCAACCACTCGAACTTCAGTTGGTTCAAGTGATTTTATGTGATACACTGGCATGCATGTTTCACTGCCTGAATGCAAGAAAGCATGGTTTTCATATCTACTTAAAAGGAGCCAGACATAGATGAAGATTAGACTGTTGATAAGGTTTTCCAGTACTGGAATTTATGAACAACAAAAAAAAAAGTTAAAAGGCTTGCATTCGTTGCCAAAATACAAAATACAAAACACAATAAAGTTGATATGAAATGTCCCCTCTTGGTGCATTTCAAAATATGACTTTGATTACAGCTTTTGGTTTATGATTTCCAAAAACCTAATAAAACTAAAGGTATTCAACTCCGCCAAGAAAATGGGGGGAAATGGGGTTATTCTATTCACCGAACAAAGGAAAACACAGAAAACTCTCGGAAAAAGTAGTACCACTTCCAAGAACACGACATTCCAACACCGTCTATTCCATGACTGAGTGCTTTAGGTAGGAAAGCCATGGTCACTCCCTCACCCTGGGTAAAAAAGCGTGAATCCCGCCACACCGAC